GGCAAAATCCAGGTTTAAAACTAGTTCCTAGCGACTACAAAGCCTTTGAAAGTAGCCACAATCTACTCTTCTAACCTAGTTGGTTATAGGAAACTGGACTAGTCACACACTTCTTAGTTTCTTCATTTGTAAAATGAGAATAGGAATGCCCACTCAGAGGCAGGCATTTGGTGCAGTGGTTAAGCTGCCACATGGGGTGCCTGCTTCCCATGCTGCAGTGCCTCCTCCATTTTAGACTCCCATTTCCTGCTAATGCACATCTTGGGAGGCAGCAGGTGATAGCTCAAGTACTTGGTTCCCTGCCAACCCTGTAGGAGACCTGGATTGAGTTCCAGGCTGTTGGCTTCAGGATGGCATAGCCTTGGCTGTTGCAAGCATTTGGGGAGTGAACCAGTAGATGGAAGATCTCTGTCTCTCTGCTTTTCAAATAAAATGAAAATTAACTTTTTAAACAAAAACTTAAAAAAAAATACCTACTCAGTCTACTTCACAGTGCTCTCCTACAGCTCAGACAACAGGACACAAAAGCATTTCTCAACTATAATGTACCATATTGAAACACACCAAATTAAAAGATTTAAGAGTGACAAAAGGCAATCCAGAAAAAGTTACATATTAATGAAGTCTTGCTCACTAAAGAACTGTAAACACTTCATATTTCTGAACATCCAGTTCAGAAATTATTTTAATATAAATTAGATTAATATTACTCAAACTTGGCTTCACACTTCTGCTTCCAAAAGAAGATTTAACTCTTTCTTCAAAAGAGTTAAATCAATCTTTCTCTCCCCCTCTCCGGCTCTCTCTTCCCCCACCCTCCCTCTCCCTCTCCATCCTCCCGCTTTCTTTCTGTTGGTTTATGCCAGCAACAGCCATGGATGGATCAGGCTGAAGCCAGGAGCCAAGAACTTCCTCCAGGTCTCCCACATTGGTGGCAAGGACCCAACTACTTGAGCCATCACTGCTTTCTCCCAGAGTGTGCAACAGCAGAAAGCTGGACTTAACAGCCAAGCAAAGACTCACCCAGGCACTGTGAAATGGGATGCTGGCAGCAGCTTAACCATCATGCCAAATGCCCACCCCTCTTCACTTAATTCTTGTTTTCTTTTTTTCAACAAAGTCATGGAGTCAATTTACTAACTACAGTTTTCCATCCACTAAACCAAACCACAAACTCTGAAGTGTCACTACATGGCCCTGAGTACTGGGTTTCATGACATTTAAAAGTTCAGTTTACTTGTTAAATGTTTCAGGAAATTTTTTTTTCTAACTTAGGTAAAAGAAACATTTAGAACACATACAGATGTGGAAAATTATTTCAGTTTTGACCAGCACTGAAACCAGGAAACAATGGATGATATTATAATATTCTTCAGTAAAATTCCTCTAAGAACAGAATTGGTAAACTTATAGTTTTTCTCCAAAATATGTCTTTTAAACTCATTTTTAACTTAGTTGTTATAATGATAGAAATAAATTAGGGCAAACACATTAGCTCAAATTTTAAAAATAATAATTTGTTAAGTGTTCCAAGATTTTTACGTTTTTAAATTTTTTTATTTTTTGCCAGGCAGAGTTAGACAGTCAGAGAGAGAGACACAGAGTTATAGACAGTGAGAGAGAGACAGAGAGAGAGGTCTTCCTTCTGTTGGTTCACTCCCTAATGGCCACTATGGCCGGCGCTGCGCCAATCTGAAGCCAGGAGCCGAGTACTTCCTCCCAGTCTCCCATGCAGGTGCAGGGACCCAAGTACTTGGTCCATCCTCCGCTGCCCTCCCGGGCCACAGCAGAGAGCTAGACTGGAAGAGGAGCAACTGGGACTAGTACCCGGCGCCCCAACCGGGACTAGAACCTGGGGTGCCGGCACCGCAGGTGGAGGATTAGCCAAGTGAGCCACGGTGCCAGCCCAAGATTTTTACTTTTAAGTTAACAAATTTTATGTTGTTGAATAAGGATGTTGAGATTCCAGCTAACCTCTGGCCCTCATCTTCAAACTTATGTGAAGAGTGAGGAGGCATGATATCTCTGAAGTGTTTCATTGACCTAGTTGCTTAGGAAGGTCCACTTTTGCCTTCTCAACGTTTTGTGTACTGCCTCTCTCAGCACACACACCACCAAAATACAGAGTGTGAGTAGCTTTGTTTTGTTTTTTAAAGATTATTTACTTATGGTGGGTTTCTGAGCCCTGAAAGTCGGGAACTTCTTCATACCCAGGAGGCTGCACCTGGCGGTTCTAAGGCCGTCACCATGCCACAAAATGAATATACTGAATTACACCGTAAATGCTATGGGTACCGTTTGGATTACCATGAGAAAAAGAAAAAAGGAAAGTCGGGAGGCTCATGAACGTTCAAAGAAAGCAAAAAAGATGATTGGTCTGAAGGCCAAGCTCTACCATAAGCAGCGCCATGCTGAGAAAATACAGATGAAAAAGACTATCAAGATGCATGAGAAGAGAAACACCAAACAAAAGAATGATGAAAAGACTCCCAAGGGAGCAGTGCCTGCCTATCTGCTAGACAGAGAAGGACAGTCCCGAGCTAAAGTACTTTCCAACATGATTAAACAAAAACGAAAAGAGAAGGCGGGAAAATGGGAAGTCCCTCTGCCTAAAGTTTGTGCCCAGGGAGAAACAGAAGTATTAAAAGTTATTCGGACAGGGAAAAGAAAAAAGAAGGCATGGAAGAGGATGGTTACCAAAGTCTGCTTTGTTGGAGATGGCTTTACAAGAAAATCACCTAAATATGAAAGATTCATTAGACCAATGGGCTTACGTTTTAAGAAGGCCCATGTAACACATCCAGAACTGAAAGCCACCTTCTGTCTGCCAATACTTGGTGTAAAAAAGAATCCATCATCCCCATTATACAAAACTCTGGGTGTAATTACTAAAGGTGCTGTCATCGAGGTGAATGTGAGTGAGCTGGGCCTTGTGACGCAAGGAGGCAAGGTTATTTGGGGGAAATATGCCCAGGTTACCAACAATCCTGAAAATGATGGATGCATAAATGCAGTCTTACTTGTTTGATAACAGTAACTTCTAATCATTATTGAAGACTACAAACTAAGTGGGAAAATGGTCTTTACTTCGATTTTTCTGAATACTGCCAAACAGCCTTCATGTCTGCAGTCAGCAAGAGAATTATTTTAAGGTGTAAAAATCAGATGCACTTTTACTGACTGTTCTTTATTGGAGTCTGCTTAAGGTTTACACGTTAATAAAATGTGAATAATTAAAGCAAAAAAAAGATTATTTATTTATTTATTTGAAAGGCAGAGTTACAGAGAGGCAGAGGCAGAGAGAGAGAGAGGTCTTCCATCTGCTGGTCACTCACCAGATGGTTGCAACAGCCAGAGCTGCACAGATCCAAGCAAGGAGCCAGGAGTTTTTTCCTGGTCTCCCACGCAGTTGCAGGGGCCCAAGGATGTGGGCCATCTTCTACTACTTTCTCAGGCATAGCAGAGTTGGACTGGAAGTACAGCAGCTGGGTCTTGAACTGGCAGTGCCCATATGGCTTCCCGGCACTGTAGGCGGTGGTTTTACCTGCTACCACAGCGCTGGTGCCTGTAGCTTTGTTTTTTTTTTTTTGTTTTTTGTTTGTTTGTTTGTTTGTTTGCTTTTTTAATGTAAATGCTTTTGTTCTTTATTCATTTGCCACTGTTTATCACTGGTCTATCTTATAGAACAAGCAGGTCATTTGTGGTCTCCAGACCCTTAAGTATGTCTACATATTTAAAAAAATAAATATCTAGAAAAAACAAATTGATTAAAATGCATAAAATTTCAAGTTGTATATACAAGAGTATTTGACTTGTACAGGTTGTTAATTTAAAATAAGTATAACAGAGGCCGGTGCTGTGGTGTAGTGGGTAGAGCTACCACCCACAGTGCTGGCCATTGCAGCCAACTGGGGAGTGAACCACCAGATGGAAGACCCGTGTCTGTCTGTCTGTCTGTCTGTCTCCCTCTCTCCCTCTCTGCCTCTGTAAGTCTTAAAAAAAAAAAAAAGTATAACAGCTATTCAAAGAACTGAAAAATTTATCTGAACTTGCTAAGAATGATAACTTGAATAAACCCCTTCAAAGTCCCCAAGAGAGTAGTATTTAAGGGGGAGTAAGAAGCACAGTGTGTTTAGAACACCTGAAAATACTGTCTTCATGGCTTCAATATATTTTTTCTGAAATGCTTGATGAAAGGATGGAAAACAAGTGATATATGGTCAATATGATTTACAAAATTTAACACTACACTACATATATAATTCTAAATAGTCAAATCTGTTTTAATTTTATTCTCTATACATTTAACATTGTAGAAATTATAACTTTTAAGTACACAGAGAAATTTAGCTAAAGAAAAAAAATCCAGGGGCCAGCGCTGTTGTGTAGTAGGCTAAGCATCCACCTGCAACATGAATTCGAGTCCTGGCTGCTCCTCTTCCGATCTGGCTCTCTGCTAATGCACCTGAAAAAGCAGTGGAAGATGGCCCAATGCTTGGGCCCCTGAACCCTCTATGGGAGACCTGGAAGAAGCTCCTGGCTTTGGATTGGCCCAGCTCCGCCACTGTGGCCATTTGGGGAGTGAACCAGCAGATGGAAGACCTCTCTACATCTCTCCCTCTGTCTGTAACTCTGCCTCTCAATCCACTGAACTCATTTCCTTACACTAAGTATCAATAGGAAGGTCAAGAAGACAAAGTAAAACAATGAACTGTGAAATTTGGAATTTTGAATCTTCATGCAATAAGTGGATCACATTTATTATTTACTTCATAAAAAGGAAACACAGAAATCAATGGAAGGCTAATAATACCTAACAGAGCTGATATATGATATGCAGTAAGGGGCATACACAACTAAAAGCGGTTTTGGAGAGTTGTGATTCAACCATAAAAGTCCACATTCAGGCTGCTTGGAGTCTGAAAACTATTATCAAGATGAACCATGATTTCAATTTTTTTAAGTGAAGTAACAACTTTTGTGATAAACAGTTGCTTTACCTTCATTACATCCCGATAGGAACGGATAGCTGAAATTTTTCTCTTTTCATCTTCTTCATCTTCCAGGCCTTCATCCGCAGCTTCGTAGCCTTCATCATTGCTCCCATCAGCTTCTATGGTGTTGGCCATATGATCAATAAGCTGCTCTAAGGGAGGGCTTAATTCCCTTTCTTCATTCTCCTTTAAACCATAGTCCAGTGCTTTATAAATAATAATTCCCAAAGATTCAATAACCTAGGAACAAAAAAAAAGGATTAATGAAGATGACTAAACAGTTTTATAGAACTAATTGTAAGGCATAAGATTTTTTTTCCCACTTTGGAAGATAGCTTGGTAGTTTCTTTTTTAAAAATATTTTTAATCTAGTTATAATATTTTAAATTTCAGAAATATAACAAATTGTATTTGAGAAATTTAAGTCTCATATCTGTATTTTAAAAAAATTTTAGATGGCAATTTTGGTGTGATTTCTTTAAACCAATATGTAACACATACACTTTTTTTTTTTTTTTTTTACCAGGCAGAGTGGACAGTGAGAGAGACAGAGAGAAAGGTCTTCCTTTGCCGTCGGTTCACCCTCCAATGGCCGCCGCAGCCAGCGCGCTGCGGCCGGTGCACTGCGCTGATCCGAAGGCAGGAGCCAGGTGCTTATCCTCGTCTCCCATGGGGTGCAGGGCCCAAGCACCTGGGCCATCCTCCACTGCACTCCCTGGCCACAGCAGAGAGCTGGCCTGGAAGAGGGGCAACCGGGACAGAATCCGGCGCCCCGACCGGGACTAGAACCCGGCGTGCCGGCGCCGCTAGGTGAAGGATTAGCCTGTTGAGCCTCGGCACCGGCCAACACATACACTTTTTATATTTCCTTAGGTTCATACTATATGTTAAAATCTATATCCTCCATTCATATGACTAACCAGATTGATTTTCTGCATTTTGAAAAGATACTTTTGGGGCTGGCACTGTGGCATAGCTGGTAAGACCACTGCCTGTAGTGCTGGCATCCCATATGGGCACCCATTTGAGTCCTGGCTGTTCTACTTCTGATCCAGCTCTCTGATGTGGCCTGGGAAAGCAGTAGAAGATGGCCCAAGTCCTAGGGCCCCTGCCACCTGCATTGGAGACCCGGAAGAAGCTCCTGGCTTTGGATCGGCATAGCTCCGGCCGTTGCAGCCATCTGGGGAGTGAACCAGAGGATGGAAGACCTCTCTCTATCTCTACCTCTCTCTCTAACTCTGGCTATCAAGTAATAAATAAAATAAATCTTGAAAAAAATAAATAAAAAATATACTTTTAAAACTAGATATAGTTACCAAAGAATGCATCCATTCAGAATTCTTATGCCATTGCTAATCTAATTAGAGATTCTATAGAAATCCCAATATCTGAGATTGAAAATTCTGTTATGGGTAGTAATCAATTTAAGCCTAAAAAAACCGTTCATATATACAGTACTCACTGAGTTCCACTTAATCACTGGAAATACATCTCTCTCATACAGTGCAAACAAATGAGACTTTTCTGAACTCAGAACTTGCAATGTAGAGCAAAGATAAACCTTTGTACAACCTACTTCCATGAATATGAACTCAATTTCTGAACCCTGGATGAATCACTGCTGAATATCACCCTGAGCTACATTTTGGCCAGTACAGGGATTCTCTATTCTTCAATATTCTTTCATTTCTGCTAAAAAAAACCTCATGTGTAAAACTTTATTTTATTATGCCAGCAGCTCGATTCAGTTTACCTTTTTTTTTTTTTTTAAAGATTTTATTTACTTGAAAGACAGAGTTATAGAGGGAGGTAAAGACAGAGAGGTCGTCCATCCGCTGGTTCACTCTCCAGGTGGCTGCAACCACCAGAGCTACGCTGATCTGAAGCCAGTGACCAGGAGTTTCTTTTGGGTCTCCTACATGGGTACAAGGGCACAAGGACTTGGGCCATCTTCTACTGCTTTCCCAGGCCATCGCAGAGAGCTGGATCAGAAGAGTAGCAGCCAGGGCCTGAACCGGCGCCCATATGGGATACTGGTGCTTCAGGCCAGGGCATTAACCTGCTGCCCCACAGCACCGGCCCCAGTTAACCTTACTTTTTGTTTCTTCTTAGAACGCAGATAATGAACCCAAAGATTTAGAATTTAATGTTGACTGTTACCACTAGCTGTCAGGGAAAACTATTTTAGTCATGATTTTTCTTACCTGTAAAATGCGTTTTAAGGATACCTACATTTCATGAGAATTTTGTTACATCTAAATGCATCTACCACACATGAAAGCATCTAATAGGGTACCTGGTTTGGAACAGGTATTCCATAAATGTTATCTGACTTCCCTCCCATCTTCCCCCACTCAACTTCTTCCAGTGTTTATCCAGTTACACTCTCAGAATAAAATTCTTTTCTGTATTCCATTTGTATCTAGTCAATGCTATATATTTTTAAGATATTTAAAAAGCAAAGTTCAGACTCAATGAGTTAAACACAATAATTCCTTGTCATACAATCTCCATAAAATCCAAAAACTGTATTATAAAATCAATATTAATAGTCAATACAATGCTTAAAAATTCCTAAATTCTAGTTTTTAAACAATATTGTTTCCTATTTCTTACTGAAACTGTGTAATATCATGATTGGTTTTTATGTCTGACTTGGAACTCTGGCTATTGTTTCCAAAAAATATATTCAAATAATTGATCTGCTGTGTCTGTTTCTGTTTGCCTGGGACCCCAGACCACACAGCATTAATCTGACTTCTGGAGGGGATAGGGTCTGAGTAGCTAATATCAGCTTCTGTGACTACATGACTGAGCCTCAACAGAAATCCCGAACACCAAGGCATGGATGAGCTTCCTTGGCTGGCAACAACTTGGATATATGTCACACATCATTGCTGAGAGAATTTAGTGTTGTCTATGCTTGCTCCACTGAGAAAGGACAACTGGAAGCTTCTATCCATTTCTTCCAGACTCTACCTTATGTACATTTTTCTGTGATTCTGAATCTATTCTTTTATTGTTATAAACCATAATCATGAAGTACAACAAAACCAAGACAAAACAAACAAAAATGACAGATCTTCCAAGTTGCAATGCAACTGACTACTTTGGTCGCCTCTCCTGGTAGCTCCCCTGGATTCCTCGTACCCCATCCAAGAGCTTCTTCTGGAGAGTGTGCCCTTCCATGTGCTTTCCTGACTTGAGGTGCACGTTGCTGTTATCATTATTCCAAGCAGGTGCTACTTACGGCTGGGATTCTAACTTTAATTTCAGTGTCAGCAGAATCTAACACTGTGATGTACACTTAATAAATACTTGTTAAACTGAACCTGGAGTAGTCAGTGTGACAATCAGAGCATCATGACTAATATGATGAAAACCTCAGAAATCAAGAAAATGTTAAATGCACACATACAGAAAGAGACTGAGAAGATCTTGTTGCAATTCCTCACTTACAAGACACAATTGAGAGTCTTAATATACTTGGATGACTCTATTCATTTATAACACTACCCCTCCACTAGAGATGTAGAGGGAAAAAAAAGAAAAAGCATAAAATCATAGAGCAAATGCCACACAAACAATGGCTTCCAAGCACAGTAAGGATATAAGAGCTGCTCAGTAAGTTTTGCTGTTTTCCCTGCTTACCTACTTTGCCTACAGAAGGTAAACCACTCTTTGAGAAGGCAATTTTATACCTTCTTTCTCTTCAAACCTCCAACACCACTTTCTGCCTCTCTAGGTCTTAACTAGAGAGGAAACACTAATTTTCCCACCTTCCAGTATTTTGCTTTGCCTCTTTCAGAGGGAAGGAGAGGTCTCTGTACTGATCAAAGGTCAATCCCACCCTCCCAGACCCCTCATGGCTCCTCAGCTGCAATCCAATTTCTGAACCTCCTTTCTCAGCACAACTCCTCAGAAGGGCAGTCTGCATACATCTCCTCTCTTTTCTCTCCTTCCATTCACCATTCAATCCTTTCCAATCCGGTATCTGTCCTTCTGAAACCACAGGTAAAGTCACAGCTCCAGTTACAATCTTTTCATGCCAGACTTAAACTGCTTCCATACTAACGACTGCTTGGCAACATCTGACACAACTGAACCCTCTCACCACTCTGGACTTCTGAATTTCCTCTCAGCAACCACGCCATCTCAATCTGTCTAAAGACCCCTCTCCCTGCAACTGCTTAAATGATGGAGGTCTTCAGAGCTCATGTGCTCTACTTTCCTTCACACTCTCTTGCGAAGTGCTCCTGTTAATTTCCAGGGCCATAAAATATGTATTCTAATACTTTTGTTTGGTAACTTAAAATTTGAAAGGCAGACAGAAAGAGAAATAGAGACAGAGACACAGAGGTTCCATCTGCTTGTTCACATCCCAAATGTCTGCAGGTGGGCCAGGCAGCCAGAAACACAAACCAGGTCCCCCAGGTCATTATCACTGCCTACCAGGCTGCATATTAGCAAGGAAGCTGGCATCAGGAGTAGAGGCAGAACTTGAACCCAGGCATTCCAATGTGGGATGTGAGTGATCCAAACGCCATCTCAATCACTATACCAAATGCCCAACTCCCAATACTGTAACTCACATTTCTAGTCTGTTTTGTCTCTGGGCTGCAGACTTGTATAACTTCTACTTAACATCTTTACACGAATGAGTAACAAGCACCTCAAACTTTGATGTTTGTTTACCGACAATCTCTTTAACCAAAGAATTTCCATAAGGCCTAGGATCTTGTCTACTTTGTTCACCATTTTACACATATCTATACAGTGCTGCCTCACAGTAGATGCTAAATAATATATTAAATCAATAAATTAATTTAAAACAGTAATACATCTACTTCTTAGATTCTTTTTGTAAATATAAATTGAAATATTGAGCAGAAATTTTTTCAAAAATTATATGAGATTTTATTTTAAAAATCTGGATTACTGCTTCTTGGCCTTTTGGCCAAGTATAGTATCTGTTATTATCAGTTTAAAAATCTAGGTTACTGGGGCCAGCGCTGTGGTGTAGTGGGTAGACTAACCCTGAATTCTTTACTTTGCAAAACTATCCTTCAATGGTGATGGAGCAATAAAGATTTTCTTAGACAAACAAAAACTGAATGTCAGAAATAATACATAAGATGGAAAGGAAGATCTGGGACTGTTTAATTAATACAGGGTATTCACATTACCCACAAAGTGTTAAAATGTTATTTGAAATTGGGATTGGATTGGTTGTATTGAAT